GATGAAGACTCAAACTAGCTCGCATTCGATCAAGCTCTCTTGCGAGTGCTTCACGGTCCAGACACGAACAATCTTCAGTCCGAGCTCGGGCGACTCCAACAGCTGGCTCCATTGCGAATACGTCCGCTCCTTCGAGGAGAAAAGGGTGATCATCATCATATCCAAAGCAGTGGCTTGCCAGTCCGCGCCCTTGTCCGGAATGACGTTTTCGTTGATAAGAAGCTTGCTGTAGCCTTTCTTCATGGCGCCAGCAACTTGCTTTAAGATGCTCTTGCACACGTCGTCGGGCCAGTCGTGCAACACGGAGTGCATGTAGTATGCTTTCGCCGCTGGGAGTCGATTAGCGTCTGATGGGTAACTGCAGCTGCCAGTCGTACCTTTCAATGGTTGCTCAGTGTGAAAGTCATACTCCATACGTTCGATGCTGGGATCCAGTCGCTCGATCCCATCAATAACGGAAGGTCGATCTTGAAGCACAAGACGACCAGGTACCTGAGGATACTTCGTTCTAAATGGGTCATAAGCATACGAATCTGGACTAGGCCTTGTGGCAGCATACCTGAATTCTTGGATGTCCTGACCGTAACCGCCGCCAATGTCTACCAACAGGACGGCGTCCTTGGAGTTGTCCATACCTTCTATCAGCTGCTCCTGTACAGGGTAGAAGTTCGAGTCCATCCAACTTGGTCGACCCTGACGATAGCCACCCATGTGGTTGTTGAATTGCTGACCCAGGGGCGGGTGTGTATCCAGATACCGGAACATGTCAAGCTCAGTATTGAAAGCATACTGATACGGCCCATTGGTTATGTCTGAGGTGAGCTGGTAGTCGTTCTTCTGCAAGTACTCCGAGAACTTGCTGCAAGACTGGTGGGCTCCACCGCCACTGATTTGATCAGCACAGGACTCAGTTTAGCAACGTCTCAAGCACCGAGAACACTTACAGGGCTGGGTAGCCATCTCCGATGATAGGGATAGTCAAGGCCTTCGAGAAGTTTGTCGCCATGTATTCATCACTGTCGGTCTCGGTGATGTAACCCATGGCTGCAATGTGCCTCATCAAGCGAGCTACCAGTGTAAGCGAGGTCGCGGAACGATTCGCTAGTATGCAAGCTTACCCAACAGTTCGCGAGGCTTTCCAAGCTTGTTCGCAATGTCGTCCACCTTCATTGGTTTGTCTCCAAGTACACCAAACACACCTGCATTATAGCAGGTGGTGATGGCGGTGTGGCAACCGGGCTAGTGACACCACTTAGACAAAGAAACCTCTACAAAGATCTAGCACATACCTGGGCCCAGTTCTGCTCGATCATGGTCTCACGGGGAGTCTGCAGCGCTCTGACGAGCGCTTTAGCCTGCGAAAGCATTGCCATACGAGTGTCATTGTGATCAACAGAGGGTTTACCCCCGAATTCTGACAGCTTCTCCAGTAGGCATGGAACGGCGCTTGGGTCGTTCGCACGCACTGCAATGCCGAGATCGACCAGCATGTTTGCAAAGTTCTGACAAGTTCAAGAGTAACGAGCAAGGGGTAAGAGGAAAGTAATTGGGCGGTAAAACGGGCTGAAGGTGAAAGGATTCACGGCACTGCTGGATGTACAGCTGATACGTTGCTTCCTTATAACTGCAAGTCAATTCCTCCAGTCCAATTCCCGAGTCTCCACAGAGACGGACAGCAGCATTGCCGGTGTGGTCAGCGGCTTGCGACTCATGGCGGCGTGTTATCAGACGGGAAGGATGTTTTGGCAACAGCAGGCGAGAAGAATACCCTGAGGCGGAAAACGGCGCAGCATGACAAGCTTCAACTGAAGGACGATGAATCCGCGGAGCATTCACACCCAAGTCAGTGGGCCTGACTTCCACTTCAATACCATCGTCCGTCTTGGCACTCGAATGATGGCCTGCTGGAGAACGGCCCCCACTTGAAGGACCTCTGATCAGCTATAACCAACATCTGTAAAGGTGATCCTTCGTAAATAGAGCAGGCTTGCAGTTGCAATCTAGTGTCCCATTGCTCGACTTACTCATTGGAACGTTCTGATCATTCCATGAGCTTCAAGATGGAATGAGACGAACACCAATAGAATGTCGCGATCCCTTGTAAAGGGGAACCGTTGTCGCGAGTGGTGTGAGTGTGGGGAATAGGGCTCGAAAAGAGTCAGTGGCGAGCCGAAACCCCCACACGGCCCGTGGCTTTGGACCCGAAAGAGCGGCTGAGCGGCAAGCCGGCTAAACAGCCACATTAGTGCGGCATCGGCAACGCAACCGTCGCTAAGTGGAGACCAATCAGCTCATCCAGGTACCACAAATAGTCACTCCATCGATGATCCTACAGCTGCTGTGAGACACACCCTGTAGAAGGATGTGAAGGATGTATGTGGGAACATGCGGCGTAGTCTTCATGAGTATAGAATGAAAAGATTGGAACTCCCAAGGCAACACAGATTTCCATATTAGTTGTTTCTCTTGTCGCTTCCCAAGATCATGTTATCGACTCCCGCAGACGGGACGCCCGTTGATCAATCGATGAACCGAGCGGGCCGCCTGGCAACGTCCTTCACCCCTGTCATTGGCAGGACGTCTGCTTACCGCTGGCTGAGCAAGTTGGCGACAGGAGCAGATACCTTGTCCACCGGAAGTCAGATAGACCCATGTGCAACTGCATATCTGAACTGCTTTCGTAGACCTTACTTCAAGGCTGTATGCAGTCTATTAGAAGATATTTCTGACCGGAATGGCTATGATTGGGTTGGGCCACCCGTTCAGTCGATTCTTTTGACGGGCCTATGCATCCGATGTACGTGCGAGCACGTGTGGGCCTGGCGTCGCCCGCGCTGCATGGAAATGATTACTCTCGCGCTTCCCAGTTCAGAAGATAGTCCGTAGACTGACACACGATCGTCATCCTTCTGAAAAAGTACAGTCGTTCCGGAAACCATGCCCGGCACCAGGGGCGGTACGAACTTTTGAAAGCTGCCAGGTCTAAGCCGCATCGCTACATGACGAAACTGCGCACGAACTCTTACGACCCCTGGTGTTGGTGGTCAGAGGGCGATAGTGCTTTTGCAGGCATGCGCAGGGGATAAGCAGAGAGTCTGATGTCCAGTCGAGCTTATATCAAACTGAACCTAGGTTCCAGCACTGTAACTTTTTCCCTCATCATTTGGTTCCACACCTAGCCTTGTTGCAATATGGCAGTACCGCAAGAGCTTCCTGAAGGCTTTGCCCAACAAACCAAGGGTCCAACGGTTTTGGCAGTATGCATCTCGTTGACGACGGTAGCGACTGTTTTCGTTGCGGCCAGACTCTATGTTAGAGTCAAAATTTTATCAAGACTAGGCCTCGACGACTGGCTGATCATAGTGTCGATGGTGAGTACTTTCTTCATAATGCTCTCACTGGCTCAGCATGCTGACGCGTCGTGTAGATATGTGGCTACATCATGCTTGGCCTCACGATAGCAGCCGTACAAGCTGGAAACGGACGACATTTCTCCGTGCTCAGCGACGAGCAAAAGTCTGATGCTATATTGTACACCCTTGCGGGCTTCCCTCCCGGTATATTCTCGTTCGGAATCCCCAAGCTAGCCGTGGTCGCTCTCCTGACGAGAATTACCAACCCTAGCCGGAAACATAGGATATTCCTGTGGGCTATGACCGGTGGTTGTTTGTTGATTCTGTTTGGCTGTGTCATCATCATCTTCGCGCAGTGTACGCCGTCTCGGTCGCAATGGGACTTCTCCGTCCAGGGTACTTGCTGGAGCCCATGGATCCTGATCTACTACGCCATCGTAGCGGGAAGTAAGTTCACAGCCAGCAAATCTAGTACTTGACTGACCGTCGCGGAGCCATCTCCGCCGTCGTGGACCTCTACCTCGCGATATATCCCGCCGTTGTTCTGTATGGACTACAAATCAACCTCAAGAAGAAGATAGCCTTGAGTGCCGCGCTGGGACTGGGTTCTATGTAAGCTTGCGTATGCTTGTCTTGGAACTTCCGCTCACACTTAAACAGTGCGGCAGCCGTAGCTGTGTACAAGTCGACTCGACTTCCAGCGCTTGCGAGCCCTGACTTCAGCTGTGAGTAGTCCCGCATTCGGTGTTGAATCATCCGTACTAATAACGCGACACAGACGATACGGCCGACATCACCATCTGGACCAGTATCGAGGGAAACTCTATCATCATCGGCGCCTGCATACCGACTCTGCAGCCATTATTCGACCGCATCTTTGGCCGGGGAATCTTTGGTAGCTCACGCGGTGAGCAAGGTCCAAGTGGATACAGATCGCGTAGTCGGTCGGGTGTGAAGCTCGCGACAATCGGGAGCAAGACTCTTCGGTCAGCCAAGCAGCATGGGAAGTCGGGCGTATCTGAAACAACCCTGGGCCACGATAGCCAAGACAGTATCTTGAGCCCGGGCTTTCGGAATGGTAGCGAGGAGAGTAAAGTGGAGCCAAACTCTGGCATTACGCGAACGCAACACTTGACAGTCGAGTACGAGGATGTCACCGAGCAGACGAGGCCGAGTTATAGTCCTTGTGACACACGAAGATAGAAGTAATATGGGGCGTTGATAGTAATCTGATGATTCGTCCCGTCGGGACTGGGACCTTGCAAAGACAAGCTGGGTGCACACTTGGAAGGATTCGCATGCTTGAACAAAGTGCAGGCACAGCGAAGCATGAGGCTCAATACTGAGGCGCGACACGGGGATGAGGTGGTCATTGCAACACGGGTGAACTTGGTTGCGGCAATGGGAATGGAACGGCATGTTTGGCCGGCATGATTGCCGATGCCGCGTCGGGTTCCCGGCTGCCATTGTGGGTCGTCTCGAATTGCCTTATGTAATGGATGCATTAGAAAGTGCATTGCTGCATTGCGTGCAAGTCATGAACATTTGCATCTTGACAGGTAACAGTCCCGAGGATAGCGGTCGGCGGCTATGATCCGAGACCGAGGCTTTCGATATGGAGGACAAAGTGATGTGCGACACTGTACATCAGTGAGTGGAACCACTGTCCTCGGCCTGAGCTGGCAACTCCACAACCTCGCACCGCTCTAGTAATCTCCTCCAAACCAGCTTGCTATCGTCTACAGTCTCCGCCGCCCCTACACCTGTCAACGTGTTTTTGTGCCCAACCAACACAACACCAGCTTTCGCCCTTGTCATGACCACATTCAGCCGTCGCATGTCATCCAGAAATCCCAAAGCGTAATGAGCGTTGCACCGAACGGTTACAAACACGATGATGTCAGCCTCACGACCCTGGAAGCTATCGATGGAGTAGACTTCAGCATTCGGAATTGTTGTTGTATGCAGAGTCTTCTGACGAGTGTACGGTGTCAATATTGCGATAGTAGGGGTTTCGATGGAGTCCTTTGGGGTTGCAGTCGAGCCACTAGATGCCGGTGATGCCTTCAGAAGCTGAATGATACGTTTGCAGACGTCGCCTTGGCCAGCATTCGACTTGGATTGCTGGAAAAGGTCTTCAGGTGCAGCGCATTCAACCCAAACCATACGATTTGTCTTGGGCCAGGGAAAGAGCGAAGGAGGCAGTGGACGCGCGTTGTCAGCTACAGCAGTATGGAGTTTACTGTCGTAGAACTCGGAGGAGCTGAAATCGCAGATGGAGCGGTGCATGCGATACTGCATGTCGAGCATGACCTTTGCGACGCCTTCTCTTGGTGCTAGATTATAATGGCGTTCAAAGAGTGAGACGTCATAACCGGTTACCACAGCAGTTTGTTGAACCGTGGCGCGAAGCTGGACATGATCTCCAACTAATATCGCACGCGAACACCCTTTGACAAGAGGCACCAGGGTTGCGGGCTCAGTAAGCTGTGAGGCTTCGTCAATGATAACGACATCGAAAGCCTCATTACGAAGCAAACCTAATGCAGCTCCAGTGCACGTAGTAAACACGAGACGGGCCTCTTTGATCCGCTTTTGCGCCTTACGCCTAGCTGGGAAGTTCGCGCTTAGGTCTTTGCCGGCCATGGCGTCACACGTGTATGTACGTAAGTCCTGAGCGACTTTGGAAAGCTTGTTATGATGTGAGTACAACTATTACCTGTGAGGTGACCGCACTTACCTGCGTCGATACCCGAACAGGGACAATGCCACCATTCTTCGCTTCAGGGTAGGCCACGAACCTCCTCAACATATTATCCACCGCATTATGTGTTGGCGCAGTAACGAGGAATCGTAATTTGGGCAATTTTTCCAGCAACTGGGTAATAATGACGACAATTGTGTGAGTCTTTCCTGTACCCGGAGGGCCCCAGATGAACGTCAATGAATGTTTCATCGAAGCTATGAGCGCTGCATTCTGACTTCCGTTCAGTGATGGGGCGACAGTCACCGGTAGCTCGATGCCAATCGACTTATCTTGGTTTGGCGGAGGAACACCGAGAAGCTTAGCGTAGATGGCACTACAAGCTTCGCGCTCCGTGTAGAAAGTAGTTACAGCGTCGAACGAGGTCTTGCTTGTAACGAAAGATCCACACTGCGTAACACTGCAAGCGCACTTGCCAAGGTACGACGGCGGATGATGAAGGCACCGAAATGCAACCTTGCCTGGTTCAGCTGATGACACAACAGCATCCATCGAGAAGAGCCTTGCGATAACATCATTCTGCGGTGGATCGGATGTTGTAAGACGAACGTGATCGCCAGTTTTGAGCAATCCATTCAAGGAAGAGTCGATACGAAGTGTGCCCTTGACCATTGCGTAGCCGTCGCTATGGCCATCCAGGCGCAGCTCGAAAAACTCTTGCGACTTTTGCTCGCGAGCACTAGATGCTTCATCTACATGGTCAAGCGCGATGCCGAACAACGATGACGTGAATTGCCGAATTGCAGTCGGCCGTCCTACCAGAAGCCGCGAGCTTTCAGGCTCTAACACCCCAAGAAGAAGATCCAAGGCCGTTTCTGAAGAGCGGACCGTAAGCGAAATGAGCTCCACGATGTCGGCGAACTCTCTCAACGAGATGCACTTCAGTTCTTGCAACAGGATTTGGATTGAACGCCGGATGAAAGTATCCATCTCCTCCGACAAAAGGACGAGATGTCTCAGTAGACTAAAGGCCAGATGGATAAGGTGTTCGTCCAACGAGGACCTGTGAGTCTCCCACGTTTGAGAGTGGAAGAATGCGGGTATCAGGTACACCGCATTCGGTAGGAAGTCGAGGAGAGTCGACGCTACGATCGTCCGGTCTAGCGAGAGGGCGGAGCTTGCTTCAAAAGCAAGAACATGCGAGAACGTGTCCAAAAGCATCTTCTTTTCACCATGATCATTGAGCAAACCAAGGATGGTCGAAAGGTCTGACACAGACTTCAGTTTTTGGAGGTGAGCAAAGTCTTTGTCGCGAACCACGGCAACTACTGTCTCGGGGTAGTCTGCCCAGTCTTTAGAACTCAATCTGGGAATATCGTAGTTCTTGTTCGGTTTCTCAAATAGCGGTAAGACTTCATCAGTGTCGACGAAGGTAAGCCACTCGTCGAGCACCCGCATTGAGTTGATGTCTCTGTTGCTGATGACATATATTTCCCAAATGTCATCAGTATCACGGCAACTGTAGAAGTCCGGCATAGAGAGCGTCAACCTACCGCACCCAATACCCCATTTTGCTGCACCTTGCCGATATGCTGCTGAAGTCCTCGACCAACTTTGTCCAAAGCAATGCTAGCTTTGCAGTCAAAGTTGACTCCGTCGCGCACAGTAGTCTCGTGTGCTCTGCGTTTGTCTCCTTTGTTTTTCTCATTTCGGTAGAGCGAATCGTCAGCCTGAGGACGCCTCAGAAAGATCCATGTGTTACTTCGCTGACGTTCGTACAATTGAAACATATGCTCATCGCAAAACAGCCTGTAATTGACCTTGGTTGGTAGCATTTTGTAGTTTGGTGAATGTAGGCCTTGTGAGTGGGGGAAAGCGAAGACTAAGACGCCGGTGTCGACTTGAACTTCGCTTGCTCTTTCAATCTTTTTTGGTACGTATATCGCAACGCTCAGACGTTTATCCACCGTCAAGATGATGAGTTTCTTGTGGAAGATTCCCAAGGCCTGAGAGACGGTAGGCAAGAATCTTTGCATACGGCCGGTGGACGATCTGAAGACCGGCTTCCAGTGCAGGTGCGGCTGATCTAGGCGAAACTTGCTCACCTCGTCAGGCGTGACGAGTTCTGACTGGAGAAGCCCGTTCCGTACCAAACTCGGCGCAGTTGCAGACGGTGGAAGGCAGCCAAGAAACCATATTTGCTGCTCATCGCTCAAAGCACTGAAATCGAGATGGTGACTGTATTCGAGGATGTCTTCACCGCTATGCTTACACCAGCGCAGTAGAAGATGCAGTAATTCGAATTCAGACATCGCCATCTTGTCTCGTGCGAGGAAGACCTCCATCACGTCGACTTCATCGCAGTCGTTGGGTCGTGTGTTGTCAGCCTGAAGAATGAGCTGGGTGCAAGCATCATGCAGAACATCCAAGATGAAGGGAGCGACGGTATGTTTAGGTTCAGACGGATCCTCTAACTTCGTGAATTCCTTGAGGTCGTCAGGAATCCGGATGTGGTTTCCATCGACGCATTGAGAAAACAACCGATTGAGTTGTTGACATTGCGGGCTCATGGCATGACCGAGGCGCGCCCATCTCATGTAGAGATTTTTGACTTTCCCCAGGGACGCACTGGTGTATCGGGCAAAGTACTCCGCTCGGGCGTCACCGGTCACTTCGCCGAAAGTTACAATTTCTTTGCCTCCTGGGTACTGGGCGGGCTGTGCCATCGTTCGTGGAATGATATCTGGATCCCAAGTCACAAAGACTAGAAAGATATTAGCGAGTTCGAGACAGATGCATACGAGAGGTTTACATTTGTCCCCATCGAGATCACCGCCTGACATGAGATCAGCGCTTGGCCTGCTCCCTTCAGTTGAGAACACGATGCAGTCGACTAGATAAGCAAACTCCGGGATATCTACTGCCTTGAATTTCTGGAGATCGCCTGGATGCAGGCATGGATTTCTCGTTACCATCACCTCGGTGTTAATGATGGTATGCGCTCGCCCGTCAACATCAGTTATCCGCACAAAGCATTCACCTTCTCTGAGCTTTCCCGGGTGACCATTCGTGCTACTTGGGTCGCAAACACCGAAGAGAAGCCGTGAGCGGCGGATCAGAATCCGACATCGTTGTTCGTCTCGTTTGTTCAGCATCTTGGTGTACTCTTCTCGAATCATCCTTCCTAGGAGTGTGTGGACAGATCCAATGCCTTCTAATAGAAGTCTCTCTGCTAGATCGAGTCTGCCACTGTATGAGAGATACTGGAAGGCTGCCCCAGGATTACCTTGGCCAACGTTATTGAGGAAGTGCAGATGCTGCTGCTGCTTGTCGAGAAAGATATCCTCCGAAATACCCAACGTATGCAAGAGCACCACCACCTCATCGTTTAGGCTACCATAGACGTAAGGCTAAGTCCAGTCAGCTCAGTAGACCAAGAGACGATTTGGAAATCTAACCTTGGAATAGTCTACGACCACGAAACTGTGATCGGACGCATCCTTGAACTTCCTCATAGATTCTCGAAACTGTACCTGTTCCTTACCCTGAAGGGTAGGGTCCAAGGTCAATACGCCCTGGTATCCACGATATCGAATTTGGAATACGGACGGTAGGTAGCGCTGATTGCGAAATATTATGTTGCGTCTCTGGGCCAGTTGTCGAGTAAGTTGAAGAGATATCAGACCACATCCGTCGGTGAAAACGTAATCATCGCGTTTGACGTCGTCGATGTCTCTGCAGCGTTCCGGGGGGAGATCAAGCGCGGCCTCTGCGCTAGAGAAAAGCAACCCAATTCGTTTTGCTTTCTTGCCTACGGACTTGAGTTTCGAGAGATCACCCATAGCTTCGATCTTGGCAGAGATGTCTTCTTTCGATGCGCCATACATGAAGCAAGATCTGGACTTCGTTTGGCTGTTTGAATGACCAAAGAAGTGGTAGTGAATCCCATTGAGTACAACGCCGGTGGTGAGTAGTCTTGTGACGTAATCGCCGTTCTCTCTGCCAGTGGCTACGCGTGGTGGGTCATCTGGCGACTTTGAAGGCCAACGCAAGCGGAAGTCCGCCAGCGAAAGAAGGAGGAGTCTGTCCAAAGGCTCTTTGCGTGTAACACGGTTGGAGGGCGCGCTTTCAAACCGCAGGACGATCTCCTGCACCGTTCCCGAAGAAAAATGGGAAAAGCACTTGACAAGTCCAGCCGCGTTTGTCTGCCTGGCCAGCGGGAGGTTGGCAACTGTGTAATTCCATGATGTGATCTCTGGATCGAGATCACGCGAGAGCACGACGCGAAAAGTTCGCAAGTTGCTCATTGTTGTGATGGAGAGGAGTGCGCCGCAGTGTTGCAGAAAGAGAGTGGCTTGATGCGGGGTCTACACAGACGAAAGTCTTCGTGATTCGTGAAGGATTGCGTTTGCTTGTGCGACGTTACACCGAACTACCCAAAGCGGCAAAACAAGACTTACCGTAAGAGCAGCGTCTGCCTTGACTTCTGACTCTTCCCCAGCACTCGCCACAGACATAATGGCGAATGAGGCAGCCCTCAGTCGCTGTCTTTACATTATCGGCGCCCAATGTACCGGCAAGACGACGCTTGTGAACGCACTGGAAGACGCGTTTCATCAACGTGACACAGCCCTTTCAGTTACAGAGGTAGCCTCGAGGCCGGTGATCATCCGAGAGGTCGCGCGCAAAGTGTTACACGACAAGCATTTCAGCCGCGAGGACATCACTGCATCGCCGTCCCGATCCTTGCAACTGCAGAAGCACATCCTCGACGCGCAATTCGAAGCCGAACAGGCTGCCATCGGTCTTGACACGCCGCCGACCACATGGTATATCTCCGATCGCTCCGGTCTCGATCCTATCATATACGCGCAACTGTTCGTGGGCGAAGGAGCGGCAGGCGAGATGCTCGCATCGGCAAAGTGGAAGGAACTCGAAAGGCGCATGAAGGCGGGCGTTGTGGTGCTATGCGAAGCTGGCTGTAGTTGGCTTGCCGACGACGGGACGCGATTGATGCCAGACGGGACGGAGGCGTGGATGCGCATCGACGACGCGTTCCGAAAGCAGCTTGCCGGTCGGGGCATCCGTTACACGCTAGTACCCAATCACGTGGTCAGTCTCCAGGCTCGCGTGCAATTGGTACAGGAGTGTTTGAGAAGCTCATAGCAGCCCCAAAGGCTTGTGAGCAATATCTGTACATGTAACTACGCTGTCGTGCGGTTATCTCTTTCGCTCTCACGTGCATCCTCTCATGTGGCTTCCAAGGTTAGCGTGGTTTCCCTTAAGGGGCCGGACGCTTCCTCCAACAACAATCAACCAGCAACACACGATACTGATACCTCAAGCTGAGCCCAGCCGCTATACTCGTAAACGCCACTGACGCATCTCGATCACCTTGATCCACATGCCAGTTGCGATGATCTCACGTATAAGGCCCGCCTGGCTCGCGAAGCCGTGTGCCCATTCGCTCCGCAGTTGCGCGCGCAACGATGGCGACGAGTTCAATTGAAGGTTTTGATCAAAGGAGCTATTTACTACGATGACAGCGATGGTGTTACCCGACTTGTTCGAAGGTCCGCACCAAGTTGTAGGTTTCCGTCTAGGAAGCGACGTCTGTCTTGGGTAAATCAGCTACGATAGCAGGAAGTAGCGACCAAGACTGAACAGCATGCCAAAACCGTCCAGGATATTAGCCTCATGCGTCTCTGGGAGGTAGCGCAGTCGCGCAAACAGCAACATCGCAGCAAGCACGACGCCACGGATTGTGAGATCTGTGTAGAGATCCGTCGCTAACTCCCCTCTGCAAGCGCTCCACGCACTACCGGTTTCTCTCAGGAATACATGCTGCTGGGCCGATTCAGCTAAACATTAGCCCTAGGTGTGATTCAGATCGCTGCTCATCAGGAACACAAGAATCCCTCCCACACCCGCATCATAAGTCGGCCGACCTGCGATGAGCGATCCTGCATGAGGAGGTCTTCCTGCACTACCGCCCCCGAGCGCGAAGAGAGAGGAAGCGACCAGGGAGATTAGCTGGCGTCTGAATACTCTCGCGATCTACCCGAACGGGAGTTTGGGACATACGGATTGACGACGAACAAATTAGTGCCCGAGACATACTTTTGGCCCTGCGCAGGTATGCCGTTGTCCTGGGAAGAGCCGTCATGACGATCTCGACATCAATATCGAACACGAAGCGCAGACCAGTATGTTCGCCCGGCAGGCGTCTGTAGCAAAGGCTCGAATCAATACAGCGACGGCTGTCGGATTTACACCGGATGAGGATCAACAGAGGATAACTTTATTTAATCTACACACTTGACGGCCTGCGTCGCACCCGGATCTTCCCACCATGCAACGGAAGTTTTAGCCACACAGTATCCAAAGGTTTCGGCCTAACCGCCATGTGCTCAACGTCATAGTTCAACAGCATGTGCGCAATGAAGACCTTCATCTCGTTCAAGGCAAAGAATCGCCCAGGGCAGGCGTGTCTGCCGAACCCGAACCCGAGGAAAGCATCGTCAAGCGTAGCAGTCGACTTGCCCTTCCGCTCGTTCGTGTCCGCTTTAGCAGCCTCAAGGTCGTCTTTGGTTGCAAAGTTGTCGACGATGCTAGTCACATTGTTCGGGTCTGCAAACCGGAACGCGTTGAAGCTGCGTGCTTGGGGATAGATACTCTCGTCATAGTGGATTGGCTCCATTGGAACCGCGATCATGGTACCTTGAGGCACATGAACGTTGGAGACTGGGAGACGAATGCCTTCGGGGTGAACGACCTGCACTTTGTTAATACCAGTCCTTTAATACTTGTTGGCATACATACTGTTCGCGGAAGTCCGACAATGGCGAACGGATTAAGTCTCATTGATTCACGGATCATTGAATCGATGAGCTTCAAATCCCGCACCGCATCGCGCGTCCATACACCACCAGACTTGGCGAGCACGGATGCAGCTTCATCTCGCAGAGCATCAACATACCCCATTGCCGGATCCGAGCTGAAGAGGTCCAGGATGACGTTCTGCACAGTGAAGCTGGTCGAATGAAGGGATATATCGTTGACCAACAAGAGCCGATGCGCGACTCGCTTCGGCTCCAACTGCCCTGCATCTCCCTTTGCGGCTGCGGCGTAGCACTCATCGATAAGCCATTGGAGACCATCTTTCTGGGACCGGGTAAGTATGTTGATGCGCAGCTCGTTAATGCAAGGGGCGGAATCCTACCGGTGGTGTCCACCCGCACTTCGGGTCAGCCTTGAAACGGGCAGTAGCGTTCAATCTCTCTGTCACAAAAGGCAAGCAGCCCTTCATTGCTTTTCTGCGCAAGTACCAGCACGTCGATCCTACAAGAAAGCCAGTCACTGGCTTGAGCGGCTTAGGGGATGCGTTGATAAGCATAGCGCCGGCAAAGATGCTCATTGCGTGATCTCTAAGGTCGTTCAAGAACTGTTCATCACGGCCTGCGAAACTATCAGCGCTTGCGCATCTTCCAACCAGGCACCCTGAGCGACTTACACAGCGGCGCGCCGCAAAAGGCGCCGTTACTTGCACCAGCGATCAACTTCAAGCAAGCATCCCATACTGCGACTTCCTTCCACTCTGTGTCGCCTTTCCCTCCCCACCAACGCTCGAAGCCTCTGTCAAGTTCGTCGGCCATCAGCGGCGTCAAATGCTCGAGATTCCGCGTAATCTGATGACGCACGACGTTGATCTGGAAGTCATTGTCGGCTACTTCTTTGTCCCAGACTGTCCATTTCGTTTGGATAGTCTCACTCTGCGTCGCGTGGATATCGAGCGTGGACTCTGGCAGTGAGTAGACCTTCTTGATCAGACGAGGCGGAAGGATTATCATCGCTCCTCTGTCGATGCTAGGTAAGATGAAAGGGCTGTTTACGCTGGCAAACTAGAAGATTAAGGATGAGTAGATTTCTACTGATATCAAAGACTATCATACCTTGCGATACCCTTCAAACGCCCAGTCCTGGGTCTTCCGGATAGACTTCAAGGTCGCCCACACCCATTCAAACCATCCTTTCTGGAGGCCCACGACTGGCAGCTCCTCCCAATGCTTGGACTCTGGCTTTCCGAAAAACAATGCCCGAATTGCGTGGTAGACTAAGAACAGAACCGACAAAGGCACGAGGGCCTGTGTGGGCGTGATGATGAGCTCCATGCTTAAGCTAATCAGATCATAGGAACAACGAAGAGCACTCGACACTCCAAACACTTAAAGTATGCTGATGCCAATGGACCGCCAGTGACAGGAAACGTCCCGCCGCTCAGCTCTCCTCGGAAGCCCTCTGCATTAGACTGTACATCCATTGGGCTGTTTGCACGAGCAAGGATTTGATGCAGCAGGTAGGTAACAGCCGGATCCTCCCAACAAGCTAGCACTGTGCTCTGCATGCATCGATGTCGATGTTGCAAACGCGGCTACCGACCTGTACATTCTGCCGAATATACTGTTAATTGCGGCGTTCACCGAGACGGCCGAGCCAATGATCGCAAAGCAGCAAGCTCGAATTTGCAATCGATAGGCCTCCCGCGACACTTGTTGCTAGCGCGACTGAGCGGGTCATCGAACGGCATGATTTTCAGGGTAGTACCTAGGGAGTTGCTCCGGTATTGCAGCATGCAATGCACGCACCGCGTACTACTCACATTGCAGTAGCTGCCATCTTTTGAGGAAGGTTGTACGACAGTGCGTCAACCGCGCGGCTCCACACACGGCTCGGGTCGGCAGACTTCCACATCAGGAATAGGCGTGGGGTCTCTCAAAGCGATATCACGAATGTCTCGTCTTTCAGTGGCTTGGTTTGGTTTTGCATGTGACCGGAGAATCAACGTCGAATTATGACTTCAACTAAACGATATTGCGTGGAAACAAAAGCAGAACCATTGGCTATAAGATCATGCAAGAGTACAGCAGAGTTGCAACTTTAGTCGCAGCACACCACTACGACTGCGATTGCTCGCTCGAGCAACCTCGACCAGGAAGAGATGCGTCATGTGGCGCGATTTGTACAGATGTTCGACTGGATCTCGAATGCTGGTGGAGAAAGACATTGGTTGCCAGTCGCCATCTTCCCCCCGCGTACACGTATGCGGATGCTATGTGCGCGCTAGTCGGTCGCTTCTCGAGCGGTGCCAGGATACAAAGTCGGTCTGAGCTCGTTTGCACATGGAAAAAATACCTCGACTACTCGCTATCATCCGGTCGACATCCGGTAAATCTACTTGAAGTCGATTGTATACGCCAAGACGTACTATGGCAGCGCTGGCTCTAGCTACAATATATCCGGACGATGGATTTTTCTCGCCAGCTCGTCCTGATGGGGTACTAGGACATGCAAGCCTCTTGGTATATCTCCAGTTAAAACGCAAACGTACTCCGGATGTGTAATTGGAACCGATGGCCTGCTTAAATCCATAACCGCACGTGCGTAGGCATTGCTACCAGGATCCAAGCCGGGCCAGTGGGTGTGTCCGCGTCATCCGTATCCATACACGTGGGAAGAGGTGTGCATGATCAAAAAGAAAGGAACCCATGGAGAAGCGGGCCTTGGACCTCATTGCCTGCAGGCAATGCTACCCGCGATGTTACCTTTGTCTCTCGCTATCGATATCTCTGTATGCACGTAATGACGATTAAACCTTGTTCTGCTTCGAGAGACCCCGGAAAATATGAAGGCGTGTTAGGTCACCTGGCGGCTTGCACAAGGACGGCCGAGGTAGGTCCTTTTGCTGGTCTGGGAATACAGCGGTAAGTAGGCTCTGTCCTTGAAGTCGCTTCCTTAGGTGCAGCGAGGTACAGATGCGATACAAGACCGACGTCGGATTTGACTCCACCAGAGCTTTTGTCCTCCAATCAGACGTGAGCGGTCGGTCCTACCTCTTGGTAGTGGTGCCATGTGGGGCACAACCCGCCTAAGCGCGCCTTTGCAACTGTCACTTTTCGACATCGATAGCTTGCCGTGCACTCACCTATTCGCCATCTTGGTCGGCGGCAGTCCGTCAAGGGTCGCGGCTTGACCTAGCCGTATCGATAGTCAGGGGTCCTGAAGGGCCTCTTCCGTCATCTAGCGCACGGAACATTTCCTCATCCAGCTGTGATTCGCCCACGCGTTCGTGCGTTTGCGCACAAGCCTCGAATTAGAGCCGCAGCCTCGGACTCGTCCAGACGTTCACCGTTTTCCCCGATTGCCACACTACACCCTTATGGATCGGACCGTTGGTCCTTCCAGCATGACAGACGAGGCGCTTCGTGTTCTGCGTGGTAGTTGCATCGGGTCTACTTACTTTCTAGGACAGCAGACGTTGTGATAGCGCTAGAGAAGGGTGGGTTGCTCGTCTTTTCATCGACCGCGGAACACACGATAGGTGAGAGCGTCCATCAAGCGACGCAGCTTGTGTAGCATGCAGATGGCCTGACATTAATTCGATCGTGCTGCAGTGCAGTGGCACAGTTCAGCTAGCCAACAATGACTTTAGTTTACTTGCATAGAAGCTTAGACGTAATGTAACGGGTCGTTCCAACCGGCTCGTCCGCGCAGCAGAACCTGTAGCTAGAGCAACGGCGATATGGTAACTTTCTATATGTACCAATGCTTGACACCCCGCGCCTATTAGCCCAATCTAAGGTCTTACTTCGTAACCAAACTTTACTGCCATCATGGACTTTTTAGAGATGCAGAGCGTACATTTGCCAGCGCTCAGCCCATTGGCGGTCAATGCTGCGAGCAGCATCTTCGGTTTGATATCGATTTTCTTTTGTTACAAGGCTTTGGTTGCGAAGAAGCTGGTACGTACCGGATGCACATCCTCCGTATGCATTATGAGTGTACACTGACCTGTTCACCAGGCTTCTTCTCCATCAAGGATCTTGAAGACCATCTTCAAGCCTATCACCAAGCGGTACCAGGCATGGGCATATCTCTTCTGGGGCCCTGAAATCATCCAGAAAGCGTTTGATGAGGCGAAAGGGAAGCCATTCGAGCTCTTCGCCCCGGATAACCGATATGTCTTTGTCTCCGACCCTCAGCAGATCAAGGAGCTAGACAATGCGCCAGATACGGTGCTGTCACTTCAGGCAGCGTCAAAGCAGGTGAGCTCCTCGGCAGCTTTCGTTCTTGGCGATTATTGACAAATTGTAGATGCTACAGCCCCTCTACACTATGTAGGACGACCCTCGCGCTTCTCGAAGTCAGTCTTTGTGCATTCGGTCTACTAACGAGTCGCAGGCACGGCTTCAACTGGTTTGACCGACGTGGTACTGAGGGTGTTGGATTTATCCGCGCTCTTCGTACACTTTTGACCAACAACTTGCCCAAGATCCTTCCTGACCTTACTTGCATCATCCGCACCAGGTTCCAGGAGCTACATGCTGGACACCCAGTGATCAACGGTAATACAACGCGAGGCTTTGACCTATGTAAATCTGCTGACAATGATCAACAGGAAAGAAGCAGTCGGATGTGTACCACATGACTGTGAAGTTGGTCGTCTTGTCGAATGCAGTATCTTTCTTTGGAAAGGATTTGGGTAAGTCTCGTGCCATGCACTTCGCTCATTGCTTCGTGCATGACTGACCGAAGGCAGCAAAGGATGAGCAGTTCATGGTCTCCGCCCTCGCATACATTGAGGAAACTCTGATCTGCGCTGAGATCGTTCGCCTGCTACCCGGGTTCATGACCCCGTAAGTGCTATTGCCGAGTCACATCAACTCTCCTTACTAATTTGTACAGCATCGTCGGCGGCATCATCGCTCGCACACTCAAGTCACACGCTGTCATCTTTAACAGGCTTCTGCCCATCGCCGAAGAACGATGCATCGAGCGAGACGCAGCCAAGCTAGGCCAAAAAGTGCCCCAACACGCCGACTGCATCCAATGGATCATGGAGACATCACCCAAGAACGCGCCCTGGACACCTCAGCGTGTCGTCCACGAGCTGATGGCCATCTGGTTTGGCTCCGTGCACGCCGTCTCCACAACCGTAACTTTCGCCATCCACGACCTCTGCCTCCACCCTGAGTACGTAGAACCTCTACGAAGGGAGTGCGAGTCCCAATACGCCGCGTTTGAGCAAAGCGGTGTTGGACTTCCGCTTCTCGACAGCTTTATCAAAGAGTCTGCGCGCTTGACACCCGTTGAGTCGCAAAGCACACGTCGCTCAGCACTCCAACCTTTCTCTCTCAAAGACGGTACTCACGTCAACATTGGAGATTGGTTCTGCACACCCGTCCGCGCCATCATGACGAACCCCGTCGATTACCCTGAAGCAACAACATTCAGCGGTTTCCGCTTTGCTGACCCGCAACTCGTCAAGAGCCTGGAGAATGCCGATGGCGCTTTCGACATTCTGCAGAAGAAGCCAACGAAACTGACTGACTTTGACATGACATTCCACGTCTGGGGAACGGGCAGAATGGCCTGGTAAGTCTCTTGCTGTATCTCGGTTGTTGTGAAGACACTGCTAACGATTCGTTACAGCCCCGGAAGGTTCTACGCCTCAGCTGTCATGAAGGTCATCCTCGGGCAAGTCATCTTAAACTACGACTGTGAGCTTGTCAACCCGACTGCGAAGCGCCTCTTCACTTGGCGGTCGACCATCTTGCCTAAGCCTAGTGCTAAGGTCGTCTTCACTCCGATCAGGGAAGCGAACTAGAGAAGGAGGTATATGGGATGATTCAACGTTGATGCTCGCTGCTGGATATGCAGAGCAATGACGCAACGGACGATGCGGGAATGGCGTTATTTCCCTTTCTTTTTTTCTGACTGCACGAATTTCCTAGACGAGTACATGATACAACGACTGCTACACATGAATACACGCCACCTTATCATCATGACGCCTACTGCTACATTGAGCTGCTCGCCAGCCAGGGTGATGCTCACAATCTCATCACTCATAACATCACATTGCACATCATGACACACCAACTTCTAATATGTATACATTGAACGCAGGGTATCTCCCAGAAAGAAAGCAAAAAAGACACGATCTTGCCGCTGAACGCCACCCATCCCAATACCGCGACCGTTTTCAGCGACAACTCGCCTACTAGCGCCCCGGGCAGCCCTGATAAAAGAAAAGCACCTCCTAGCACTGCCGGTCCTCGGCCCGATTGAAGACTCGCCTAGTATGCGCCGCCCGTAGCTAAGAGCATTCCAATTCGGACCACGTCACACGTTGGATGTGGAGCAAAGCTGCACCTAGCCATGCCGACACGGCAATACTGCAGACGCCATTCGCGCGGACAATAGTCGCGCTCCAATGCTGCAGACGCAAGACCAGAAAAAGGGAAGAAAAGAAGCAGTCTAGATTTCAGCCGTTAGCTTTAGTTGCTGCGCTGGAGGATGTGGTACGCACTTTTGTTATACAAGTCGTTGGGGAATTGATCCAGTCCCAGATTTCGTCACTGGGTGGACGTGTTCAAGTGTGCAGTCGGTTCAAGAGATGTCTTGACTGCTCAATCACTACCAGCCCGGTCCCTGGCCAAATGGATACCGGTGGCCGGCATCTTCTAGAAAAGCATGACCAGTCTGGCTCTTAGTCAGGTGACCGTTTGCCCGTGCCATCTTCGCTCCGGTCTGAGGATGCAGCAACTGGGTGTCCGACTGCGACCGTGTGAAGGGCATGGCGTCTGCAGTAATATTCAACTTGTTCCACTCCGCCCAGTTGGTGTCGTCACGAGCTAGCAGACTGCTGTAATGATCAATGTCGCGGCGTGGTGGAGATGGGGCTGAAGCAGGCCGGTTTGCTACGACGAAGCCGCGCTGTACGTTGTTCGTGGGGGATGCGTCTTCATGGGTCGCGACCTTGCCGACAGAGTCATGTTGGGGCGCGGGGTGAATGTTGGAATGATAGTTCAGTCTCATCCGCTTGTCAAAGGTCGCAGGGATGAGATATCTCAATTCAAGGTGGGGTTGGGAAGGCAATGGAAGCGCTGCGTCAGAGTCGCGATCCTCTCTAGTCCAGGATATGATCGAGACGGGCGGTGGTGTATTGCTGACATCGTCATTCTTAGGCGAGACTGGTTTGCGTCCCGCAAAGAGTTCGACGACCCAATTGTGCCATGCGCCAAGAGAGGGCTTTCTTGAGCTTCCCGTCGATACCTGAGCCAAAGTTGCTGCAGTGATGGCTACCGCTGGAGTGCGATCTGTTGCAGTGACCGCCACAACTGGAGTCAGAATTGCTGGAGCGACTGTCGACACTGAAGATGGGTCTGCCGTAGTGGTTGTTGCCGCTGATGCTGGTTGTGCTGTAACTACTGTTGATGCGGATGCTACTGCGACCGTCGCATCTGGCCCTGTCGACGGTGAGTCTGGTGTAGCAACTGCCACCCCCGATGATGCATCTGCTGTAGTCTCCTCTGACAACTGAGAAGGGCCCGCTGTAGCAAGTTCAGCGACAGGAGAGTCACCTAATGTAGTTTCCGTTGCCGCTGGCAGAGTGTCCGGCCAAGACCAGTCTGGCGGAGGATACCAAATAGGCGCCAGGTTTAGAAGAGAGGCAGGCGGGTCGTCATCCTCATCTTCAAATTCCGTTGGCGCGCCAGAACCGCACGGGATAGCAGAGATACCATCATCGCCTGATTCATCTCGATTACCGCTCTCGCAGGTACCGCTCGTCTCGTGATCTTGCTCATCCGTAGCGCTACGGGCTGCTTCTGAACCGTCCGTGGTAACAGGGGCTCTGTCACGTATTAGTACGGTTCGAAGACCGCTTTTGAAGGCGCCGGCAGACTCTTGATCGTCAGTAGTTAGTACATGGCGCCTGGCGAAGGACGATCCGTTATCGTCAACAGGGTTGCTATTATCGTCATGAATCGGATCGTTGGATTCAACAGAAGCCGTGTACACTGAGCCAGTCAGCGGATTCATTTGGTGGATATACGGTTTGAAGCAACGATGTCTACCTTTTGGTGCTTTTGTAGGGCTCTGCGCATCGCTGTTTGTTTGTTTTGCTTTCGGCTTCTCGACGTGGTGCTTCTTGCTGGTTCTTCGCGACTTCGCCTGGCTACGGAGCTGGGCGCGAGACTTGACTTTGGGCACAGTCATCGCAAAACGTGCAGCTGGGTTGGATGAGATTAGAAGGTTAGTGCATGCCACTCGTAGCACGAGCGATGCGGGTGCGGCAATGCGTGAGATCTGTAAAGAGCAATTCAAAATCAGACGTAGAGGCGCGGCTTGTTGTTGTGTATGCTAACAGTAGCTGCGCGTAGACAAGTCCACAATGTTTGCAGGGTCCAACAGCGCAGTGCGCATCGCGACAGCGCAAAGTCTAGGTGAACCAGTCGTAGGACAGGGATTGCAAATTTAGGAGACAGTGACGACATGGTGAAGGAGAGCGGGAATGAGAGGAATACGTATATAGTCTTCACCGTTGACCATATTGGGGTGGAGGTGACGGTGAGTTGATACAGAGGACGGCGCCGAGATACTTAAGAGCAGTTCAGAAGTTTGCGTGACTGTCACTTGCACCACCCGACAATCAGCTTTAATATTGAATCATTCGTGGAAGCGTCAGGTGTATACCTCATGACAGTCGTCCAAGCTCCTATTGGCGCTGAGTATGTGTAAGATACGGGTCATCGATCATCACGTGTGGCTGGTTGCCGCGACCACCCTGCTTCTAGACTGAAAAGCTGCGGCTCTTCATGCCTTGTCTGCACAGATGTATGTGACTGCACGTCCGTTAGTACGAAGCGAAGTGAAGAGCAAAGTGGTGTGTTGGATACCATTGTTACCACGGACGAAAGCATCTCCCCAATTCCGGGTGACGCGTCCCTCAGACACCTCCTTGCATCGCTCCAGTGCAATGTTCATGTAGCCATCTACTGACTGAAGGTCGCCTATATGGAGATTAGTAATTGATGTGCATCATAGGCACGTCAAGGGCTACCTTTGTAGATGATACCAGAGTTCAGCTTGACGGTGACGGGAGCTCCGATAATTTCACTGAGGAAGCCGCTAGGATCTCTAGAGTCACCGGCGGCTTCGGGTGCTGGGCTTTCACCGTTGGTGGACATGGTGATGAGGGTGGTGGTGATGCCGAATTTTCTAGCAAACAATCAGCAACTTATTACGACGCGTCTAGATAGATCTTACGTTGATGCTTAAGTAGGCGTAAGCAGATATTTCTTGAAGTCGGTCGCCGATGATGCGGACGTGAGAGATGGCGATGCTGGGTCGTGTGGAAAGGCAGAGTGCACGGGCCCAGTCTCTTCCTCATCGCGAGAAGCGTGACTGCGCGCGTTGAGGCCCCACTTGCACCAACCCGCGCCTGCCCCGACAGCGGCCTTGCCCTTTCCTACACACTACCCTGGGGTAGCACGACACCTCCTCCGCCCACTCAGACCGCCCATGGCACCGCCCGAACGATGACCGACACACCCGCAAGCGTCGCACCACCCAAGAAACGCAGCCTGTTCAAGCGGGCGGCATGGCAGGATGCGCCCAAGAAAGACGGCGAGGACATGTTCAGCCACTCCAACGAGTTCAATGACATAGTCGCCGAGCAAGCGAGGATCCGCGCAGAAGAGAAGAAGCAGGCCGAGGCAGCCAGGAAGCGCAAACACTCTGAGCCGCGCGACCAGAAGCGCCGTCGCATATCAAACGACACCGAAGAGCCCGTGCCTACCAAAAGTAGCTCAGCCAGCAGAGAGCGGGCGAGTAGGACCGCCAGCAAAGTGTACGCATCAGGCCCTATATCGCAATATTAGTACTAACAATAGCCCAGGCGCAGCAAAGTGTCCCCCTCTCCCGCGCCATCGCATCCGCCGCCGGACTCGCTCACAGCACGGTACGACTCTCTCACCAAATCCGCCTCCTCGAGTGTTTCATTGCCACAACAGACGTCTTCCGTCATTGACCTAGGCGATTCAGACCTGGACGACGACTCGGGCTATGTTTCCAAGCCGCACAACGACAAGTCTGAGTTGGACTACAAACCACCGAGATCCAGTGACAAACAGCCCATAGCCGTTCGACCATCGAAGCCACCTCCTATAGAGATCAAGGATGACGACGACGACGACGAGGAAGATGAGGAAGGCCTGGATCCTACAATAGCTGCATTGCAGGCCAGGGCACGAGCGCGCGTTGCAGCGGCCAAGGCGCAAGCCGCAGCAGCATCAAACGGCGACGCTCCGAAAGCACCCATAACGCAGCTCTTCATCGACCCACAAATACCCGGCGCAAATCCGTTGATGGTCAAGGTCAGGATAGACAGCACCATCGAGAAGCCACGGCTGGCATGGTGTCAGAAAGAAAAGTTCTCGCCTGAAACAACACGCAACGTCTTCTTCACATGGAAGGGCGCACGCCTCTTCGATAGCACATCGATACAGCGCTTAGGAATAAAGGTGGAAAACGGCAACCTATCCGTCGAAGGAGACTCTAACATTTACGACGACGTCAACCTCCCCAAGATTCATGTCGAAGCGTGGACAGAGGAGATCTACAGGCAGTGGAAGAGGGATGAGGCTGCGGCAGCTGAGACGAGAAAGATCGCCGCCGCAACACCTGCCGTGGCAAAAGAAAAGACTCCAACACCAGAGCCCGAGCCTGAACCCGCTTCCAACCGGGTCAGGTTGATCCTCAAGGCGAAGGGTAAACCCGAGTTCAGGTTGACAGTCAAACAGGTATGTGTCGACTGTCCCTTTGGAGTATGCACAAAAGTGCGACGCCAAACCTCATCAGCCTTGTCCAAATGCTAACTAGTCATTAGGAGACCACCGTCGCCCACATCGCAAGTGCCTACAAGAACAGCCAAAAGATCGATAAAAGTCAGCCAATCACGCTTATGTTTGATGGTGAGCGGCTAATGCCCATGGATACTGTGGAAGGGTGCGATCTTGATGACAAGTGTATGGTTGAAGTTCTCTTCAAGTGATTAGGTTTCCAGTTGGGATACAACAGATTACCCCGGCGTTCTTGTTTCCTCTCCTAGAGTTGCTTCTTGCTCACTTTGGCGTTGATATTATGACACGACCGCAAGCATGGCGTTGGTGGAGTACCAGACAGGATACAAGCATTTGTTGCACATGCATAGCGACGAGTTGGCTTCGCTCATCTATTTGTTGATTCTACAGACTTCTCAGATATTGGGGTTCTTTCTTCGGTTCGCACCACCATCCAGAATCAACTCCTGTCCACTCAAGAAACCCGCACCCATGACGTACTCGACCATCTCAGCGAGATCTTCTCCTCTGCCCACTCTGCCGGCTGGATGTTGCTTGTGGTAAAGCTCGTCCAGATCATCCGCCCAGGCCTTCATCCTCAGCTTCATCGCTTCCTCCTCATGAGGTGCAGTCTCTTTGTACGATCCGTTTTGCGTCTCTTTGATCTGCAGATCATAAGCTTTGCACTCGTGCTGCACGCTGACCCAGCCCGGTGAGATCGCCATAACACGGATTCCCCAGCGTTGGCACGAGACAGACATGGCCTGTGTAAGAGCCAGTACACCGCCCTTGCTCGCAGCATAGCCTTCGCAATCCGGGTCCGACTGATGAGCGCGGAAAGAAGCAACGTTGATGATGCAGCCTCCTTCGTCGAATTTGTCATCGCCATGGAGATTCAGCGGCAACTGATTGAACTCGTCCGTACGCTTCAAATCTTTCGTCCGATCAACACCCGGCGCACCATCTTTCTGCGTGTTCTTGCTCTTCATGAAAGGAATGACGGCTTGGCTCATATAGAAGGGTGCGCTGAGATTAGTAGCAATGTACTGTTCCCATTGCTCTCCCGTAGCGACATCTTCCATGGTCCCATTTCCCGCGTTGAAGAAGCCTCGCGCTACACCTGCATTGTTGACAAGGACATCTATGCGACCGCCGAAGAATTCCGCGGCTTTGGCAACTGCGCTGCGGATTTCCTCTGGATTGCGGAGGTTGGTTATCGAAGAGCTGACGCGTGGTGCGTAGGAGGCCAGATGTGTGTTTACAGCGTAATTCAGTTCGTCTTTGTCGAAATCGATGATGAAAACGCGATGCGATGCCGGTAACGAAAGCAAATGTCGTGCTGTGCAGCGGCCGATGCCTCGCGCACCGCCGGTGATGATGATGTTCTTGCTCTTAGTAGACGGCATGATGTTGGATCTGAACTTTTCTGAAAGCGCAAACGCAGGGTCTGGACTGTATCGTACAGACAAGCCGCTTCTTATATCTATCCTATCCGCGTTGGTGGCGCCTCACGCGCGGCAGCAATATCAAGCACCTGGCAGCGGGGAGCACACACCCTTTCAGCCTATTCAGCCCACCTTGGCTTATCCAGAACAGTAGTTCAAGGCCGCTTGTCCGCGAAAGCCCTATCTAGAATAGAAAGGCAGCTTCATAAACGTGCGTGCTGTTGAGAAAGCTTGGTGGGTCTGCGTGTGGTGGTGGGATACGTATCCCGTGGATTGGAAGCAGGCCCGCGGTTCCGTCGTCTTACGGCCTAGCTTGCTCCGACGGAACGTTGGGTTTGGAGATTTGATGACTGCATAGCGCTGTATACGTTGCCTCGGGCTGCTCGTTGTCTAAGACATGCTAAGCGATGTGTATTGGGCGTGCCTGCAGAGCCGTTGGAGGAGATACGGATTCCGGGAAGACGGATCGGCTTGCGGGCCGTGGAATGTGCTGTTTGTCAAGGGGATCCAACCAACACCAATGATGGCCCAACTCTGGTTCTCCTGCCCTTGGTCTCTGTCTCGCGCAATATTGTCTTCCGTTTTTGACATTACCGCGCGAGGTACTCACTTCACGCGGTGGTTGAGAGATCCACTCTTGCCGTGTTGTCGATTTTGCCGAGGTTAAAATGCGTGGCCTAACTACTATCACGACTGCTCATCTCGGATGTTGCTATCATCTCAATTTCTTCATGTGCTCTCACAAAGTGCTGCGTTACGTTCATAATAGAGCAGCTTGAGCAACACGATCCTTCTGATGGGGGGCTACGTTCACGATGCCCATAGCGTCATCATACCTCCACCGCCTGGAGGCCGCCGAACGGGTGTCAAAGCGGATAGTCTCCTCATCGATACCCCAAAAGCAGGACACACCGCTGGGTTACTCTATCGA